TTGGAATGCAAAGCACTTGACTGGGCTGGGACTCCACCGTGCAATGGTACAGCTTCCTCAGTCGAATGGCTTGTAAATGGATCAGCCATTGTCACATGTACATCTACAGAGAGCATTGCGGGGTATACGCCTGTACTTAACCAGACAAGTGGTGCTTTGACGATCCCGCATGTTTCTGGGTCCTTGAATGGCACACAGTTCCACTGTGTAGTGATACACAGGGAAGGAACCGACCGTTCTGAAGTAGAACTTTTCGTGTTTAAGGGTAAGTATTTCTAATATTTGTTCATACTAATGGAATAAAATAATGAATCACAAAAATTACGGGATTTTAATATTTTTTGACCTGAAGGTTTTAAATGTAATAGCTGATCGGCAAGCAATCTAGTAATTCCCTACAACCATTAATTCCCTGCAACAGGTTTAACGTTGTTCTTTACCGTTGATGTAACAAATAAAATCGATGAAAAAGTGCTGAACAGAGGGAAGTGTTTTAACAACACAGTGTTTTTAGCTACTTATGCCCATTCCCTCCACTGAATTATGGAATATGAACAAAAGACAGATTGGAAAAAAGCGTAAAGTTCGCCCCTAGCGTCAAATGCGGTCCATGTGCCCACCCTTCCCCGCACTTTCGAGTTTGCACTGCTGACTAGCCGGTTGGTCTCCCCGAATATTTAAAATTTAAATAAAGAGGTTACTGCTTTTCCGAAATTAGAAGGAGGAAGTCTTTTGTATGGCCGCGTGTCATAACTGTTTCTCATTACTATAATACTTGATATTCCTATGTGCAGGAACAGGAATTATAGAGACAACTTCCGCGTTCAACGGGATGCTAAGAGGGGGAATTGCCTTGGAATGCTTCGTCAAAAGTGTTCCATTCGGCTTTCCAAATATTAACTTCAAGTGGTTGCTTGGAAACAAACCCTTGCACGATGTGTGCACAGAAGAGGGCAGCACTAATACAGGGAAGTATGACTATCACCATGACAACTACGGTTGCAATTTGACGATTAACGATCTCGAGTTAACTGACGAGGGGCGCTACAGATGCGAAGCTCAATATTCGGCTACGACGGTGTGGAAAAATACAACCTTGACTGTTAATGGTAAGTTCAAACTGGATTTAACTGTTTTTAATTGAAACAACTGTTCTTTCATGGATTAATTAATCATTGGCGACCGTTATGTTGGATTACAAATACACATATTGTTTTACATATAAGTATAACCAATACCACAAACAATGATCCCAAGCTAAAACATCAGAAAACAAGCAGATCTAAACAGGAGATTGCATTAAATATCACAGGGGTTTTTTTCAGGATAAAAAAAAATCTTTCCTAGGTGTATGCTGTTGATATATTTGCGGTACGAAATCTACGCAGGCTGGTCCGCAACCCACGCTGGACAACACTGGCCGTATATCTTAGCCGTGGTGCTCCGTCCAATTTTGGTAGTAAGCCTCATTCCGATTACTGATTGTTTAAGTCGGTAATTGGATTCGACGTGCACGCATTTTTGGACCAAGGATGTAGGAAACGTTCCCGCCTGTGCAATAACCTGTTTAGGCACACAACAAAACCAAAAATATTTTTAGCATCCTCGCCTGCTTCCTTTAGGGAGGATGCGTAGTTTAAAAAAAAAAATATGAATTTTAAACAGTGTCATCCTTTTGGCCTCTTCGTTTGTTGCATCTAGCCCATATAAAGCTGTTATGTCATTCCCTGACTCCAATTGGTGGCCATTAAAAAAAAAAGCCGGCGGCCATCTTGACAAATAGCCTGGTCGGGCGGCCATTTTGGAGGGGAAAAGAGCCTCCTCCTTCCTTTTTCAAGTTCAAAAAAGCAGGACGCGAAATTTTCTTTGTGTACTTGATCTTACGAAGATATATTGTTTAAATAACTAATCATAAGCTACCGAAAAAGGGAAAAATTTCGATAGTTGTCTTTGAATGAATAATGAATAACTTCAAATACGATTATCTCGGGATAAACTTTTGTCCAATTTGGATTTTTTTTTTTCATTTCGTGAGCAAAGCGACGCATTGTGTGACGTCATCGGCACATATAATTAAAATGTGTTTCAAACTTGACGGTGTGCACGCGTGCCTCCGATAAACGTGCCTCCAATGTAAACGCGTGCAGCAGATTTATGAGGGTCCCCCTTCCCCGTTTCCGCTTTCTAAGCTACATTAGTCGTCCAAAAAAGTCGATACGAGGCTTTCCATGGATTGCCTTGAAAAATTAACTTTTTTTTTAACACAGCAGTGGTTCTTGAAGGAGGCGTTAACTGGACGTCTGATCTGTGTGTTCCAAAATCCGACCGGTATCTCTGTTTCTTATTAAATGTAGCAAGAACATAGGAGGTAAATACTCTACGTAGCATACTGGCAAGACTGTTATCGTGGGTTAGGCAGGTCCCGGTCCTTTTCCAACCATGACCAACGAACATAACAAGCAAGTAGACTCGAATGTTAAACTGAAGTACCCACTGTTTGGGGAGTGCTGATAAATGCTGATTTCCTACTAAAGTTCTTTCATAACTATTGTCGTTCTTGCTTGTCCTGTCCTGATGCAAGTTGTAATGCTTCTCCGCAGTGCCACCCAAAGATGTGCACATCATCAACGCCACTACCGGCGAAGTTTATAGCGGAGACGTGCACATCGGACCAGGCAGCGACCGCAACTTCACCTGCCTGGTCACAGACACCAAAACCCCGGCAAAAATCACCTGGACATTCGCTGGAAAGAACACAAGCGGAGAGACGAGGATAGTTGGGACGAGATTGCACAACACAAGCAGCACGTTCACCGTGCCGTCATTTCAGCCTGCACTGTAAAAAAATTCAATGTTTAAAAACAAAAAAAATGAGGGCAACTTAGTTGCCCTCACTTTTTCTGTAATTTGGACTTACAGAGCGACTTGTTTTTAATTTTACAGGATAAACTGTAATTTGAAATGACATATCTAGTTGTAAAATTAACTTACAAAATGAGGTGTAGTTTTAAGAAATAACTTTTTGTTTATTTACAGATGAACTTGTACATTGAGATAACAAATACATTTGTTAATTTAATGTACAAATTATCTGTAAATTGAGATAACGAGAAAATGTATTTTTAAAATAAATTGTAATCCAGATCAACATAGCAATTGTTATTTTATTTACTTGTTTATTTACAGATGAACTTGTACATTGAAATAACAAATAAATTTGTTAATTTAATGTACAAATTACCTGTAAATTGAGATAACGAAAAAATGTATTTTTAAAATAACTTGTTATCCGGATTAACATGGCAATTGTTATTTTATTAACTTAAACTTAAAATAACAAATACATTTGTCAATTCAATTTACAGATAAACTGTAAATTGAAAAAACAAAACGAAATATTAAATAAAAAGACTCCTGTTATCATAATTAACATGGTGATTGTTATTTATCAACGGAGAGCTGTAAACCTAAAATAAGACAAACATGTTTTGAGAAAAAGAAAAAAAAAAAACCTTTAAAAAACAGGTGTTTGTGCTTTATCTTTTACTTTGTTTTTCTTTCAGTGCAGGGCTGTGTTTAATTCATTTTTGTTAAATAAACAGTGAATTCCTCTATTCCCCTAAAAAAAATTCTATTGTTGCAAGTTTATTTTTGCCAAGCGCTTACCAATATGCTTTAATTAAATATTGAACATTTCAGTAATTAAATTTGAACAGACAGATATAATTGAACAAAACTACACATTTTTTTTCCCCCCAGAATGGTTTATTAACATCAAAGTTCAACAACATTCTCCAACAAATTGAGGAATTACATAAGTACATACAATACATGTATCAAGTTTAACATATATATACATAGCCCATGTTAGGACTTGTAATCGAATGGATGCTGCCTTACTCTTCAATATTTAATTTGCCATTATGAAGGGTTAAGTGTAGAACCTTTTTTTCGGTGCTTATGTAAATGTTCAAATTCACAGGGCTCAAGCCAAAAACTCTGCTCGCCAAATGCAAGCAAACACACAGGCAGGCTTGTCAAACAATCCCTGAATAAAATCGGATTAGTGAAAAAAGTGCATATCTCCAATAATAAACACTTAAGCCAACCTATGGTATAATAACTATTGGGCACTATGAATCATTGAAATGTATGAATTATGGGAAATTTAAAACTAATGGAAATTATTAATTACCTGGCAGTTCACTGACTGAGATTAATAAAGCCAAAATTTCATGTAATTATTATAAAGAATGAATACAAATTGAAAATTAACGGATATAACTAATTACTTAGCAGTTCACTGACTGAGATTAATTAGGCTAACCTTTGATAAAATTATTAGAAAGTAGGCATTATAGGAAATTTAAAATTAATAGAAATAATTCATTACTTAGCAGTTCACTGCCTGACATATAATTAGACCAACATTGGATGTAATTATTGGAAGTTATGAATTTTTGGAAATTTAAAATTAATGGAAATTATGAGTTACTTGGCAGTTCACTGACTGAGATATAATTTGGCCAACATTTGATTTAATTATTGGCAGTTGTGATTTATTGGAAATATTGGAAATATGAAATTAATGGAAATGATTAATTACTTGGCAGTTTTAATTCATTGACTGAGATCAATGATGCACACTTATACAATAATTGGAAATTATTCATCAACCAGAAAGTCTGAAATTGGACAGCAGAAACTACTCATAGCCTGACACATTATCTTACAACTTGGGCCCAAGTTCATATTGCTGTTTATAGCAGTCAGCAGGCAAATTGTGCTGAAAATAATCATGCTGCTGCTTTTAAGCCATGTTTACAGCCATTGTGCATATCGTTGGGTGCGCGTCACTTTTTTTTATTATTAATACGTCCCTGATGTAAGCACATTGTTAGCACATTGATTAATTGCTGATTAAATGAGACCTATAGGTTTGAATGGTGAACTTGAACAATGTATGGTTTGCAGTAACACCATGTCAATAATTTTGTTTTCATTTATGTGGTTTTTAAACGAACTAGCTGTTTTTAGTTCCAAACAGTGAGCTATGTTCATGTACACTATAGTGTCCAGCTGTTGTGTGCTGTTTGTATACCGTCTCCTGATGACAAACAAACGCACACTGCTCCAAACATCGAGTTAAAACAAGAATATTCACATGGTGTTACAGCAAACCTTTCATACTGTTAAAACCAGGCTGTAAAGAAGAATTAGGGGACCAGAAGACAGAAATTACAGACTAGTCCGACTCGGTGCCAAAATCCTTCGCAATGTTTATGAAGGTGAGTACCTTTGAGTTGATGCTGTGGGCCTTTCTCCCAGATGTTTTGGGGGCCTTAGAACCCTTTTCAGGATTGATCCCAATCAGGCATCTGCAGAAAAGAAAATAATATCATGAGTCACTAAGAGGATGGTTTGCCAACGTCCATGAAATAAAAAAGACTGTGTACACGTACACTGAAACATAATTCTGCTTTCTGCAATTTTTTTAGGGGATTTATTTACTGGAAAAGACGAGAATTTTGAATAGTAGCAACACCATGCTCTCGGGGAATGGAATAATTCGGTAAAAAATTGACTTTCAAAACCTCTTTATTGTAGTCATTTATATATTTTTTTCAGTTTAGTCTTTTCTTTTTAGTTTTTTTTTAGGGGGGGGGGGGGGCGATATAACACTTGTATTCAAAGTAGGTGTATTCTGTGTATACACCTATTTGTGTGGGTGAATGGATGCAGCTGCTGTCGTGCTGCAATGTCTTATACGAGTATGAATTAAATAGTGAACCTTAACCCCAAAAAGAGGTCCAGACATATAGTTGTTTGAATTTGTGTCGAATAGTCGAATAGGTCCACTGGCACTTTAAGGTCAATGTACATATGACAGACAGAGATTAGAGGATGCCATTATGTAATTTTCGCGTACACTGTCTGTGACGAATCTATTTATCTTCAAGCAAACTTGAATCCTCGATGCTAATTGGTCGCTCCATGGCAACAGCAGTGTGATATACTGAATATAATCGGACCTTTCATATTGCACTATTCCAAGATGCGAGCGACATTCTAGCTGCGTGTGAAACACCACTCCAAGGTTCATGTGAAGCGTGCTAGTTCTAACTTCACTGTGGGTTAAGCTTGCTTGAAGATAAATTTAATATACTCCGCTCATTGAACACTGAACATATATTACATCGGCCCCCTTATACCACTCGGCTTTCGGCCTCGTGGTATGCGGGAAACACTGCACTTAATTACTGCGGGTTTCTAGTGACAGGATAGTAGTGCAGCAAATCTATGTGTAACAATGAAAAGTGAGAATAAGTGCAACATGTACTGACCGTTGAACAAGCTCCAGAAGTGCCTGCCCCTTTGATGGATACTCAATGTTGAAGTTATAGAAGGCTGCAAACATCAACATCAACGCTTGCAGTGGCGATTGGATTCCCGTGATCACGATCTCTTTGTCAACGACCAACATAAAGTCAGAAGCTGTAAGGATTGATGACCCTGTTCAAAATACGTAGGAACAAATAAATGTTAAGTAAGTTAATTCATAATTAAACCACTAATAATGTCCCTGATGTTTACTCATAATGATGCAACCCTTTCTGAAGATAAAATGGTATTTGGTCAGCGTTATATTCAAAGAAACTAAATCAATTTAAAGACAGTGAGATGTAAAGAACGTGCACCGTCTTGTTGTTAAAGTGAGACACTCGTGGAGCCAGGATGGAATAGGTCAGAGTTGATTTTCATATTTTGATGCATCTTAGATCCTGACTATTTATTAGGGACATACTTTTTTTTAAAGAAAAGTGAAGTGGCATAACAGCTAGGGGGAGGGGGGGGGGGGGCTGCTCACTCAAAGCATGTCCCCTTTCCCTTGTACAATGATAAAAGAAATGTGCTTTACTTTGTAAGTTCCCTCTACAGAAATGACCTCCTAGGTTCAACTGCAAACTTACCATTTGATACAATGCAGGGTGTGACAGGCAGAAGCTGTGCTACTTCCGGGGTAGTTTCCTGCATATGACAAAAACATTTGTTGTAAGTCCTAACAAAATGATAAAAAAAAATTTCGGGGGGGGGGGATTAAACATGCACAAATTTTCCTCTGCTGAGTGAAACGTCACATACCAGGGGTGCGAGTGGGCACTGATAAAAAGAGCTGAAAACAGCTGAAAATGGTGTAAAAAAGCTGAACTTTGGAAATCGTTTATACTTTTGTACACAGCAAGTGAGGGAAAAAAGCTGAAATCCAAAACAAAAAAGCTGAAATCAGCTTTAAAGCTGAGATTTCACACCCCTGACATACATACAAGAACACATAGTCATGTGACTGTTCATGTGTTTTACAACATATCAACAACACAGTCTATGTGAGCAGTTGTATAGACTTGTACCCAGTTTTCAGGAAATATGTGTTCACAAAAAAGCAAAAAAATGCCAGGAAACAAAGACAACCAAGACAGTGAATAACAACTTACATCTTGAACACGAATCAGAACACTGATGTCTTCTCCAAAGAAGGCTGCAAGGGCGCTGAGAAACCCGAAGACCTCTGGCAGGTTGTTCATCATTTCCCTCTTGGCCTTCTCCATGTCTTGGATTGCCTTCTTCAGCTTGGGCTTCTCGTGCTGCTTGCTCAGTAGGAAGTTCAGGAGTGGTGGTACTTTAGATGCAAAGGCAATATGCAATGTTTCACGGAGTGGTATCCCAACAAGTTTTTCAAAGTGTTCCAGCATGCCAATTTCCTCAAAGAGGAAGGGCCATTCTGCTTTGATGGTCAGAATCGATGTTGCACCGCTGTTAATCACAGATCTTAGTGTGGAATAAGTATCGCTCAAGAGTTGTGCGACTGCTGCCTTGTCCCACACCTCTTTGGAGTGCATTGTCAGCATGGCAATTTTTTTGTCATTTTGGGAATCGACATCCTCATCATGTGGCAAATCCGGTTGCCAGTTCTGGGTACCGTAACTAGTACTGGCCTTGATTTTCTTGGCTGGCCTTTCAGCACCACTATCAGAGTCTATGTCATGGACAGCACGAGTAGGTTTGGTTACCCTTGTGATATTGGCAATGCGGGTCTCCAGCTGAGATAGAAGTGAATCATATCCTCTTCCAATTACAGTTCCTCCAAGTTGGTCTTGAAACGAGTGAGGGTAATGACACACAATTTTGGAGGCGATGTTGCAGAGATGCTTTCTACCTGGTTTATGAGTGATCTTGGCCGATATGTCGTCTACAATGATCCTAACCATTTGTCTCCTCGTGGATGGAAGAGGACGTTCTTTCCTTTGTAGGTCTTTCTGGAGAGCAGCGGGCATTTTGTCCCAAGGTACGCTGTAGTCTGTTGACCAGCCACTTGATGTGTGCGATGGTGACGATGCAGATGGCAAAACACCAGATGGTGACTTGTGCTGGGTCTCAAGCGAGGCAGCGTCTAAAAACAAAATGAAGGGGGATAAATGAAATAAAAAAATACCAATGAGAAAAAGGTCTCAAAATTTGACTCAGTTCATAAAGAAAATAGTTTTGTGTCACTTTCTATGCAAAGTCATTCACATTTCTCTCTGATTAAAAAGATCTGACTAAAAATCATCTCTGAATTGACTGAATCTACCATAGAGATGTACTGTGATTGACCTTAATTTTCTTGAATGGTAACTACTTCTCTGCCCTTTCAAATTTCAAAAGGGGTCCTACAGCATATGTTACTTTTGTTTGTTTAAATAGTGCAATTTGTCTAGTGGTTTCCTGGTCCCATATAATAACTTCTAAAAAGGGGAAGAGCATATTGATTGCTGGGCATGGGCGTCGGCAGGATTTTTTCCGGGGGGGGGGGGGGCAAAGCAAATTTTTCCCCAAAATTCCTTAATGTTTTCATTATATTCTCAATTTATCTTTTTTAGCGTGAGCAGGGGAGCATTTGCCTTAACCCCCCCCCAAATTAACAGCAAAATGGCTTCGCACCTCTTTTTTCGTTTTTTTTGGGGGGGGAAGTGCCCCCCTTGCCCCCCCCCCCCCCCCCCTCCCTCGCGACGCCCATGTTGCTGCAATAATAGGGTCTTTTCTAAGTATATCAGAAGTGAAATTGTTTTGCCAGAAACAAAACACAATTTAATAAATGAATAAAATGCAACAATTCTTACCCGGGTCACTAGCGTCAAATGCGCTCAGTAACTTCCTCAATTGGACCTTCTTGAGATTCAGCTCGGAAAGGTCACCTTCACTGACATACTTGAAATCCGTAGGTTTGTCCACGCCAACTTCAAGACATTTATCCAGAATGCTACACACTTGCTCTCTTTTTAGCGAAGGAAGTGTATCTTCTATGTACGTTTGTAGCAAGTGAAGGCCATCGGTATCATCACTATAGATTGACATCTTTGCACTATTTTTATAAGAATTTTGAGAAAAAAGGACACTAGGTGAGTAAACAAAAGAAGAAACTCTATAATGCTCCCCCTATATTTTAAAGAAGTTCTGTATGAAACACTTTCTAGATCTTTCCACATCTAGGATATGAAAACCCATTTAAAAAATCGTCTGCACCTTGAGACTTATTTATGGGATTCAGATATTATTTCGAGGATACCACACATGGTTTAATTTTTACTGACATATCATGTACCTTAAAGTATAATCAGGGTTCAAGGTTAAAAACAGTTTTGTCTTCAAAATTTCATTACTGGAAAAGTACATGAGTGATTTGAATGATTTTCTCATTAAACGAAAAACTTTTAATTGGGCTTTCACATCTTAGACCTGGAAAGATCTAGAAAGTGCCACATTCAGAACTTCTTTGAAAAACAGGGGGCACAGTAACGGTTTCCCTTGTTTAACCCACCCTGTGTATATTTCCACATTCAGGTAAGATTTCATTCAGAGGCGGTACTGTGCTGGTTTACAAATAAACTACAAAAAGACCAAAAATAGTTACACTAAATTAGACACTATACCCGCCAACAGGCACTTACTAGAAATGCCCATCAGCATCAGTAATGTCTCGACCTTTTCCGGGGTATAATGTCATTAATCCTAACTATTATAAAGTGCTGTATATGACATCTGTTGACTATTTAGGCACTCACTGTCAAAACTGTTAGTGATTGTCAAACATGCCGGTGATAAATAAAAATAACAATAATAAAAAAGCACTGACAAAGAAAATTTGAAGTAATTAGGTATTCCATTTTATCATTCAGGTCATGCATGTCGATTTTTTTTATATCCCATCCAGGAAACTATGTTTTAAGGGTAACCAAAGGTTTCTACCTTTCCTGTAGGCAGGGAGGGGGAAAAGATCTTGCAGTTGAGTAGCTTCAATGCACAACACTTCAGACACCTGAAACTCTGATGCCAGCTGGTACATGCCCATATGAAAATCAAAATGCCCATCATGGACTTTAACAACAACATAGACTGATGCACCTGCCTTTACAGCTATCATTAGAATACAACCAAACTTGATTCCACTGTCACTTGGTGCAACTGCTACAAACAGCCCTTTTCTGAAGTCTGTTCCATTGAATGTTACCTGATCACTGACAACTGAATTGCCCGAATGCAAGCCCAGTTTCCCCAAGGAAGATTCAATACCGACTGAGTACAAATTTGGATGCAGAACAATTGCCTTTTCTGTTCTCACTGAAGACGGCAACAATGAGCCACTGCCAAGGTAGGCCTGAAGGAGCTGATGCCTTTCGCTGAGTGTTTTAGTTACATTTTTGTAGTTTTGGCAGTGTTGTAAACATTTCTTAAAATAAGAATGCTTACTTTCGAACCTTAGAGTCCACATTCTCATGAGAGGTCCAAAGCTATGTATTAGTTCAGGATAGTGGGCCAAGAAATGATGTTTAGGTCGAAGCCTGCACCCAGGAAATCTCTTTTTTCTTTCCTCTAGGTACTCCTCTATTATCACTTTCACATAAGCCAGTTGTCCCTCTTCAATCCGAGGAGCACATATCAGCTCAGTAATGAGTCGAAGTTGTAAGCAAAGACCCCAAACATGATCATCTATTGGGATTTTGTCAGCTACAAAGAGTGGCAGAAGGCGCAACATACACCAATTCTGAACTGCATGGCCTCCAAGGGACTTTCCTTTATCATTAACTTCAGGAGGTTTGTTGCTGGCATCTGTGCCTAAACACTGAAACTTTCTTATTCTCTCATTCAGAACTTCATATGTGAACCATTGCTTGGTTTTTATGAAATACTTTAAGTAGAGTGCTACATCATATGTAACCACACCTTCAAATAAGTCGTGTCCCAAACATGGTGGAAGGCCGGGAAAGCAGACATGGAATTGGCTCAGTGAATTAAAAATCGAGTCAAACTTTATTCCCTCATGATTATTTACTGCAGGGTCTGCAATTTGATCAAGATACTGGACTGCATCATCATACCTTTCCTTGGTTCGTGCTTCACCACATTCAAAACCCCTGCCAGAGTGAAACTGTTCAAGGCTTATACAGCAGTATCTACAAAAGTACCTGGAAGTGCTAAAATTTTCAGTGAAACCTCCTATAGCGTGAGAACCCAAATTGTCTCCTGTGATGGCTACAACACAACCCTTAACATTGCCCAAAGCTGTATATATTCCTTCTGTTTCAACATCCTTCAGGTCCTTCACCAATTGTCCAAATATCTGCTCTTGACCAAACTTCTTGAAATCTTTTTCTTTACAAAGAAGAACAAGTTGCATGTGGTTTACTGAGGATCTCAAGTGCGCGTGGATGTTTCCCAAAGAAAAATACACCGCCAGGATTTTATGTTTCTTTTTACTTGATCCCAGTGGATTGACCACCTCAAATGCATCTTGGAAAAGTAGTATCTTTAATGAGTTATTTGCAGTTTCGAACAACTTATTTCTTTTGAAAACACTGCCATCCTTAAAGTCACATAATACTGTTGTGTCAGTGCCACTAGAAGCATTGAAACACTGCAAATTTTGCTGGACTGAAGGGTCTTCCAACATGGTTTTCAGTGTTTCTTTTATTGGTACATAGTGAAAGCAAATGGGTTTATGCTTGCTATCTTTGCCCAGGCATACTGACACCGGACTGACATACTTGCACTCGTTTTGGTAGTACATTTTTCTTCTGTGACAAGTTCTTAAGCAACCTAACTCATTATCTACTGCTGTTTTCCAACAATCACTCATATGTAGTTGATCAAGGATGCTTCTAATACTACTTTCAGCAACACCTTCTTCTTCCAACCTCTTTTGTAAAACAGAACAATATGACTCCATTGCCAAGGTATGCATATTGTCCATTTCCTCTGTTATAAGCTGAATTGTTCTTTCAGGAACATGAAGTTGGGCTTGCAATCTCAACAGAAAGAGTGCCACATTGTTTATGAAACTGTCAGTGTCAGCAGAAACCACATCAGCTTCACTATCATCGTCATTACTTAAGCCTATGTGACCAGCATCCTCGTGTTCAGAGCACGGTGACATATCCTGCTTTGTTCTTTCTCTGTGATTGTTTGTATGTTGATTGATTACAGACAAAGATGCATCCACTGTTTCACCTAAGTAATCAGAAGAGATATTTTGCACTGACCAGTCTCTATGATTTCGTGAAATATGTGCAGCAAAAGTTGACTTGTTTAGAAACAACTTGTTGCAAGAAAGGAAGGGACATTCGACCTGTTCAGAAGAATCAATATGTTGTTTCATGTGTTTTATCAGAGCACTGATGTCACTGCACTGTTGCTGGCAAATTCTGATTTTACATTTGACAGAAACGACATCAGTGTTTTTCAGTCGAGCTGGATTATCTTTCCGATATTGATTATGACTTCGAGTAACGTGGCTGTTGAATGAAGCATATGAAGCAAATGACTGGGGGCATCCAGGGACACCGCATGGAAATCTAAAGTTGTGCACATTTCTGTGAATGCGATTATGCATGGAATATGCTTTCAAAGAGGACGTGGAATGCTTGCAAACCTGGCAAATGTACATTTTTCCTACACCTGAAGCTAGTCCTGCCAAAACTGAAGCCCGAATCAGTTACCCTATCCCCCTACACGTTCACGTTATAGGCCTAGGGCCTATTTGGGTAAATCCTATGCTAGACTAATTCTACATCATGTCAAAAGCATCGCTGATGTAGGCCTAACGCCTAGGCCTCCAACAAAATTATGTAGGCCTAAGCACAAAACGTACGTACGGTTATGTCATGACGGCACAGCGTGAGCAGACTTAACATGATTAGGCCTAATGCAGAATCAGAGTAGGCCCAGGCATAGACCAAGTACAGACTAGCCCTAACGTTAGCTGGACCCGTGTATCTACATGTCTACGTTACGTTATAATGTAATACTAGTTAAAACGCACAGTATACCACCTTCCTCGTGAAATCTTACCTTTTAAATTGTAATCTGAAATAGAATTCTGGACGGCCTTGATCGAGGCGCTGATGATGATGGCGACCACCAACACTGTCACTTGTCAGTCTCACGTACGTGTGTTCCGTATACATACGTTACACGCCCGGCGCGTGTATGCACCACCGGTACGGTACGGTCCGGCCACGCCGCCTAGCACTAGCCTAAACACGCACACGTACATACATGTACATGCACAGTACAGACATGCGGCATGCACTACACGTACGTAGCAGAAAAAAAATTGAGCAGCAGCACCGCGTTGCCAAAAATGTATTACATTTTAGGCTATAGGACGCGCCGTTTGCAAACGTGATTGGTTGTACGTGGACACAAAACGATGTTGGCGCGAATTGTTTTATTATGCAAACGCCCCATTTGCTAATTCGTTGACACTGTTGATGGTGTTGTGCAAGATTATGCAAACGTTGAGTTTTTAAAATAATGGCTTCATATGCAGGTCCGGCTTAAACAGTTGCTTATGATTCAGCCTGTTTAAAAAAATATTTTATGGTTGCATTTTCACCAGCGTTATAGCTCGGGCATAAACAATTCTTGAGCAAAGACGCATCAAAAATCCTCCGACGTTTTTTTTTCTCTTGCGGACGTAAAAATTCGGCAAACAGTGGTGGTTATTGAAACCTCGGCTCCGTCGCTGGTGCGGCGCCTTCAACTCTAGCTTTAGGGCCAACATTTTTAATGAGCCAAAACGAGGCCGGTTGAAATAAGCAAAATCAAAGGTCTCATTTTAGTTGTCAGCAATGATCTTTCCTAACCCAAAACAACCGGGATTATAATAATTCCTTGTCATTGATCTTATCCCTGCCGCGCTGGCCAGCCTATAAACATTGATACGTCACATGCACACTGTCCCGGCGCCCTATATCGACGGAATTAAGGCATTAGGCCTACGTTACAAAAAAAATAGAATAAATTTACATTTATTTTTGTAACAATCAGAAAGAAAAATATTTATTCGTGTATTTTGTACAAACACCTTTATCTTTAAAAAGATCATTTCCCAGTTTTATTACACCGTTTCTGTTATGATTTTACAGACATAACACAAACCTGTAGGCCTACTTTGAAACGAAAAAAACAAGTCGTCAATTAAAAAAACAATCGATAATTACGGTGGTTTTTTATTCATTACATCTGTATTCCCTTGTTTTAGCTGAAAGGATATAAAATTACAAACGTGTATGTATCCTGTCGCAGTTTTACAGCTTGCGTTGTGAAATAACAAATGCATGTACATTTACCTCTCAGCTATTGTAAAAGCACAAGGAATTTGCAACATCACTTGTACAAATACAGTGACGTTGGTTAAATTACAAAAAAAATGGGTGAAAAAACGAAGTAATGTAGAATCACAGTTAAATCGACAGAAAAATGTTTAAATACATGATCAACGTAAAACCAATTGACAACGAAAAATCTTATTTAAAAAAACATATTTTTCTACAGTGTATGTATTACTATTTTACAAATTACACTTGTAAATTTACACAATTCTGTCAAAACACATCATTGTTTTCGGAAAGATGTAATTTTAACATCAAAAGTACCGTTAAAATAAATTGCAGTGTAAATCTGTTAAAATGTCTAAGAGAAATGGCCTTTTTCTTACAGGTAAAAAGAATATATGAATAAAACAACGCATTTTCTGTTAATTTAATTTCAAAGCACGTATTTTAACATTTTTGTTTACAATTTATTACTGTTTTTACAAATTTCGCTGTAAAAATGCAAAATGCCGTTAAAACACGGAAATTGTGCAGGAAATTGTGATTTTAACATCAAAAAATCTGTTAAAAATAAATACAGTGCAGATCTGTTAAATTTTCTCTGTAAAATAACATATATTTTTTACAGTGTGGTCAGCGGGGGAATCTAACATGCACGGCAACTGGGGCAGGAGGAAAGGTGGTCACGAATATAATGTTGCTCAGCCAACATCCAGAAACAGGTACAGTTGTTTGTCTTTGTGTCATTTCTTCTTTTTTACCCGACGCTGTCTCTGGCTTGTTGGACAACATAAAATACTAGGAGGGTACAAAAACATGTCATTTTATTCGGAAAGAAATACAAATTGATGTGTTTTGCAAACATTCGAAAACGCAACTGCCAAATTGTTATGGAATAGCCTGTAATAAAGCGTCAAGCATCCTGTGAAATCGAAGTTGTCTATTATTATGCTGTAATGTTAAAAATTATACTACAGTAACGATGGTTTGGACAGAGGCATCGCTGCAAGAACGACCTTGTTACTGTTACATATGTTAATGGGCGCAATATGCTCCGTCACGCAGTTATCATACATGTCGGCTTGCGTATAATGCACTTGTTTTCTTCTAGGTGTTAATTGTGAAACTGATCCTCTGTATTTTGAATGAATGCGTTGCTACCGTCTCGTTACTTGCTCCAAAGTACATTTTAAGTCATAAAAAAACTTATAAAAGATTTTTAAAGTTTGCCAAAGCTTTTAAGAAAGGTTGGATTAAAAAAATAATCTTTAGGTTTAAGTCTGAATTGCAATCGTGACTGTATTGTCACCTGCAACATTGATATTAATTATCAGAATTAGTTTTCTCAGTAATTTAGAGTATGTGTTTTTCTTTGGCAATTTAACTTGACGTATTAAAGATGGAAGGGGGGACTTTGAAACTACAGGGCCATCCCAAACCGACAACGGAGATTCCGGATCAACAATTCACACACCGAGTGAGTTTATTTTTCAACTTTATTTGCGACTCATGCTAAACACTCATTAAGGTCGGCCAATTTTATCAACTGAGGATGAAATCGCAGTCAATGGGGTAAATTTCACAAAAGGTTAGAACTCTGATTGACCAATCAAATTAGCCGTTTAGGCAGAAGGTTCCAGCTTAACTTGCGAGGTGTAGTAAGAGTAGATGTTGCACGAAAATATTGGAGTATTTTTTTTGGTTTTGTTAGCTCTAATCTTCAATGTTGCTTCGATTCATCAGTAACAGGTAGAGTATAGTTCCGTGCTGCTGAAAATAATGAAAACGATGTATATAGACAAACTGCAAACACCACTATCATTGGGATTAAGAGTCAAAATGTTTATGGTCATGTTTGATTTGTTACAATTTATTTTTTAGGAACCATAGGCTGCTCTTGGTTGTTTTAAATCGTGTTTATAACCATTGAAGGCCCACATATGCAATTCTTTCTGTACGTTTTAGTTGCTTTTACTTTGCATTCATTTTGTGCCACGTAGACGTCGACCCCATTTCCAAGAAGTGTTTCCGGATAGCTTAAGCACTGCGATATCATCTAATAACACAAACTAGTTTCTTTTTCAGTAAGCCTCAAGATAACGCAAGCTTAGGAACATGAATATTTATAGGATGACTTCGTTTGATTTTACTCATGGCATTTTGCCTATTTGAATCCCAATTAATAAATCAGGACAGTACGGACCATTTTGTGTTCCGACAGATTTGTTGTGGCCTTTAGAGCAGCTTGTCCGACACAAATTACGACAAACTAAACTTACAGACATTTCCAATAAGTTGAATTTATAAACGACCAAGAAAAGTGGTGATAACACTGTGATCTCCTCGATTGTTCAATTGTCCTCTGTAGTTAATATACAGCGACCGCATGCTAACCGCATCTTTACATTTCATACGCAGACCCCTCGATGCAGAGTCAGATGTCTTTGATCTTCATTGCAGTTGGTATAGCAGCTGCACTTCTGCTTGTTCTTGTAGCGGCGATTGTCTTCTGGAAACGCAAAAAGGGTAAGTGTTTTTTTCGGCAAACCCGGTTTGCTGTAAACCCTGCTGTTGATATTGGCTGTCTTACTACCGAGCTGTCGTACTGTCATGCTGCTGTCATACTCGTACTGTAATCATATTTGGACTTACTGCCAGACAGTAGTTGCTGCTATTCCTGATATACTGCTGCTGCGCTGCCATTCTGCTACGTTGAGGAACTGCTGCTGAGGAAATGCTGCAGCGTTAATGATCAGTTGTAGCTGCTAGCAATAAATTTTTGATATTCATTACCTTTGGACTAATGTATTGTGTCATCAATTTGATACAACTGACCAACGTAGGAACCTCAATTTTTCTTGTATAGTATACGAAATAACGGTGGACATTAAAACTTTTCTGCCACATCGGCAAATATTGGCCGAATTTTACAGTAAGTGTGTTGTGCCTGTTAGTTCAGCCAATCAAGCAATCTTTAAATAGTTTTCTTGATGTTTGCCAGTAATAAGTGAAAAATATTTTTGTTGAGATCAAAGCTAAGGCAAACAAATAATCATGCAGAACAGTATTGTTGACTGTCCAGAATACACTGTAATCGTAATGCGTTTAGAATGGAAAGGTCATTTGGAATTCGTAACACCAGGAAACAAATTTATCCTATATAGTCTTTATGGTAGCAAAATAAAACGAATAGGGAGGTGATTTCATTTTTTTAAGAGTTTCATTTTGTGTGCCTTAAAGTGTAACATCGGAAAATCGAAAGTGTGCACACTGCACTTTCGCAATGAATCAAGGTAAACAATGAAGGTAGTAATAACAGAAACTAATTGAAACGTTTGTTTTGGTTTAATCTACAGATAACATTCCTTCCGATGGAAACCAGTGAGTAAAATGTATTTTAAATATTGACAGTCAAAGGGGTTTTGCTTTGTAAATGATTTATTTGAATTAGTAAGGCAGGTCAGTTTCTGTTTGCACTTACACGATAGGTCTTTTAGGATATTATAACTCATTTTAATGATCGTCATTGCTGAAGTTATTTTTAAAACCTATATCATGCATGTTCTGATGACAAACTATATACGAACAGTGCATGCTGGAATATATTAAACAAATGAAAACTTACAGATGTTTCAAACGATTCCTTCGAAGAAAGCCATTCGATTACTGTCCCTATGGCTTCTACAGCCATTAATTTGTCATGAAGTGACTGATAATGTCGCGCAATCTGGTGCAATACTCATGCTTGTAATATAACTGCCATATACTATTTGACAAGACTAGGCACCTTACACAAAGAGTCCTTATTGATGATCGGTCTTTCTGAAATTACATTTATAGAAAAAAAAATTCTCCGTAAAATCGCCATGTACTGTTTTTCCTGTAAAAAACTGCATGAATTTTGCTGATGAAAACACGGAGCATGTAACAAGCAGACTCTATAAGCTTCAAATTTCATATCGTTATTTTGCTGACATGCTATTTGCAGGCCTGTAGTTCACTACACACGGACTGGACCCGACAGGCCCACGGCGTCTGTGAGTCCTGTCTTGAGCACAGTCGTGGGACCATCAGGTAAACTAAGCTGAGTGCCTGAGTGCCGAGAGTGGAATCTTCGTATTTAAAATTTAAACGGAAATAGGAAATATTTAAGGGACAGGGCCGCTGGAATGTTACCTTACGCTCATCGAACAATGATAACGATCATGTCCAATAACTGAAGGATGACGATTCGCTCTTTGTTTGACGTTGCGTTTCATTGTGACAGGATGCAACTTTTTTTTTGAATCAAAGTCTCAAATGAGCTGATTCAATTGGATGGGTCTAATAAGGCCTCCTTACCCATTATGTCATTTCCAGCAGTGATCGAAGTCTATTATTAATTCTACCTTTAAAACAATATTGCTATTTTAAAAGATGCTTATGTCATGATTTTGGTAAATTTATTACAAGATGCGGGAAATATCTACGAAGAAAATACGTTGCTTCCGAGTAGCCAGTCGCCTCCTGCTGCCACACCGCCCTCTAGCAGTGGCATTCAAGCAACAAGGAACTTCCGACGTTACAATCCCGGTAATTGATTCAAAGAGTTATTCGATATAAAGTGATTAGTTAACTCCGCGTTTCGTTTAGTGTACACACCGAAACGTTGAGTTAAAACTTGCTTCATGTCCGATCTACCTCTGCTTTATTGATATACGACCAACACTGTTTTCAAGTGGTGCATCCGGAAACATAATCAAACATTGTTTGTGTTTTGCAGGAAGATTTTTTACATGCCACACTTCTTCAACCTATTTCAACAACTTTGGATGCTTTTGGTTTAAAAACTGATTTTCCAATTTTCTTTTTGCCTGGCTTTTTTGTTTGTTTCAGGCAATAGGGCAGTGGAGACTGTTGTCCTCCCTGGTCTCCCGGTGCAGCAAAGCGATATGCCGACTACCAGCAACCAACAACCCGGCACCATTATTTCTAAGGAAGTATGTTAATTAAAAACGTATATATTCTTACCAAAGTTACCAAACAAAATATGCATTCTGGTTACATTTCCGTGAAATTAAAAATGGGTATACATTTCTTTATCAAATAATCGAATTTTCCAAATGCGACGTCTTGATATTTGCATTAAAAGCAGTCATTTCAACATATTTATCTTGGCAGGTCCTCATGTACGCAGACGTCCATCACACCAAGACACACCCATTGGACGTCCCGCCCATCCGCACAGAGCCTCCCACCCAGTACGCAGACATCGACAACTTCCTGATATCAACTCCTGTCGAGACTCCGCCTCTTTTCAGAGACGACGCCCCCAGCTTTGGTGTAGAGGGGCACAGTGTGGATGATTTGGAGGAAGAAGGCAAAGAAGAGAGAGCTCCGCCCCGCCCCCTTCGGGGTTACCCGATCCCTTATCTGGTACGGGATTGGCAGATGTAGGCCCAACTGTGTATGAAATTATATTGAAATGCCTGCTAATTGCCGAAATGAAAAAGTTGAGGATCACTGGGTGAGCAGCCCATTAAGACTCATACCAATCAGAGGAATATTTCACCGCAATATACACTCTCGATGACAGAAATGATTTTAGGAAAAATGGAGCTTTGTAATGTCACATGCAAGTAGCATTATTCGTAACAAATCCACATATTTATTGGGGTAAAGAATGAAAAAGAAAGTCAAAGAAAATGGAAACACTTGTGAGGAACGGTATGCATGACCTCTGACAACAAAAATACTTTTTCCAGCCGTAAATTTCCAAGCTTGAAATAAAAAAAATACAAAAACAAAAAGACGGGCCTGTTTTGTTGTAAGGTACAAGTGGATGGCATGCATGGTGAACACGTTTTAGCTAAAAAAACCTGTTTGCTTTCGAGGATCAGGATCTCAACATTGACCGCTTGCTTGTTTGTCCTTGAATAATCCTTACGTCGTGTACTTTAAAATAAGCCTTCGAAAACAAATCGGCTGTTCGATTTGTTGAAACCGTAAGAGAAAAGAAAAAAAACATAATTGTTAGAAAACAACCACCGTAGATTTGCGGTCCTGTGATGAATTTAAATTGCTTCTCCGAGGACCAACCAGTAATTGATACTCTCTTGGGTTTTCTTCAACAGTACGTTGTTTAATTGTGGTCAGTAGATAAGTCTCCATACAATCAAGATACAAAGAAAAAAACCTAATAAAAGTACAAAAATAAAGGCAAGAGTTGGAGATGTAATTGTACCCGTGTACATGTACATGTTAAAGCTCTAATACAGTTACGTTACTAAAAATAAAATAGAGTTCATTCCTTTACCCAACGCCAGGTAAGGAAACAACTTCTCGGCTTCTGCCTCGAGCCTTATGGCATGTTTATGACATGTACAGTGCAGCGGTCACTGTCTATATAAACCCTGTATTGAATTAATAACATTTACACATATAAATGATAGGAGAGGATATAATATTTAAACCCTGTATTAATGCTTTGCACATGTATATTAATTATCTCCCTGTTGACGGTATCAACTGTAAGTGTATAAATACATGTACAATGTATTGCCCTTGCACCGTATGGCAGACGGCAAAGGCCCGGTCGTAATAGAAACAAGGTCACAGGTCAACTTCGAGACACACACAAGACGTATCTCACGTACGTGCGTAGCAGCACACATTAGGCCCCACAGCCAAACTACATATACCATGGAGAAATGTGTTTTATTTCTCTATGCCTTGCTCTATGCATATACACAGTAATTTCTAGGTATCCTACATTCATTAATGATTGCCCTTACTAACTGTTAACCAACCCAAAAGATGGGAAAAAACGAAATATTTACCCAGGAGATCTTGCCCCCAACTCGTCATGATTTCATGCATTGTGCTATGCATGCATAGCATGCAATGAACAGTTGTCGTAAGGAAGGGCGCCCTCTGGGACGCAGCGGGTATAACATTAATAAACGATTCCCCACATTATTACCGAAACACATGTTTGTATGCTGGAAATCAATTTTTTTGCAACTTCTATTCCTCAAATTTGGGAGTTTGTAAGGATTTTTTTAGCGGTTGATAGTCGCCATCCTTCCCCCTCGGCACGCTACAATAACATACAACCCCACCAGTGAACCCCACCATTGTTGATAGATTGTCGGTGTGTTGCACTTGTGTAGATATTGTCACTCGCCGTTTGCAAGCGATAAGTGCGGCATTTAAAACCAAACAACTATTAACTGTAAAGGAAGATTCTGGACTATTCTTTTTTAGCTCCACATTGTTTGTTTGTGAAGCACCTGGTTTCAGACGCTCTAAATAGGTTTTGAAAAAAATATCTCATAATATAACACAAATTGAAGATTCGTTACAATAAAATATATACATAAATTAAATGTTTTCAAGAGCGTGCACGGCCGCTTTAGCCTGGGCAAAAGACAGCACCCTAGCTCACTGTTAAAAAAAAAAAATCCGTTGCGCGGAGCTTCGGCTTAAGACGGCGTCGTTTGGCGACGAATTTGGGGTCAATTTTCGACGCACACCCCCTAATTATGTTTTTCAATGTTTTCAGGTACGGAGGGGCGAGATGCAAATGATTTTCCACATGTACACGATCCTGCTGCTTCATGGATTTAAAAATTGCCTTGTTAAATAACAGGAAATGTTCATGTAGCTAAAATATATGAGCTGGACAATGCCGTACACCGAATTTCAACGTTTAGAAAGGAGACCTTTGTATAGAAACATTAATCCAGTTAAAAAAAAATCAAGAGGCAATAAAATTACACTGAAAGTTACTTAGAGGTCCTGTGGGGGTCTGCTCATAAGTCCGACGCTATTTAAGTCCAAAACATCATAAGTTCGGACTTATGATACGGCCCCGTCTCGTAGACATAGTTGCTGTGTTTCCAAGGTAAGGGCAAGCGATTTATTTGAATAGTTTTGCTTTGGAAATGAGTGCACCTAACGTATAATGTATGTGTATTGCGTGCATTCCTATGGCGAACTGTGCAGCCGCCGACGGGAAATTGTTTCGTCCCCAAACGTCATCTGTTTCCCATGTAATAATTGGTCCATTACATACAAATCTAATGCCATGTTCTGCATAACAAAAACACTGTTTATGCTTTACGTCTTGTGAGAAATGTTCCTTCCTCACTTTAGTTATTAAAAAGGTAAAATAAAATGTGAAAATCACTCAATGAGATTCGAACTTGGATCACCTGATTAGTCAGGTCAACTTCCAACCATTACACAAATCAGCCAATAATTGTCGGTGATTATTTTAAACACCATTATTCCTTAATTTATAAAAAAAAAAAATCACTAAAGCCCTGGACTTCATGAATCTTCTTAAAGCAGAGAGCGCGCGCCCTCTTTTGATATAGTAGGACCTCGTTTGGGAAAAAATAATTCGCGGCCCGCCCTGCGATTTTTTTCCCCCAAACGACATAGGCGAATTGGGTGTGCGCTATAAGGTTTTTGAACTTTACCTTCCTAACAATGTAAGAAAGAAAAACAAACAAAGACAAAAAAGAAATGAATTTGAACCTAATGGAATTCAGACTTATTTCCCATTTAAAAAACAATTCTCCAAAGCCACACATTAGAAAAGAAAACAATATGGAAACATATGTAGTTTCGAACACACACCCTCCGATCTCAAAAGCATACCGTTATCCAGCTGAGCCATCGAAGCGCTTCGAAGATGCATCAAGAATTGTGCGCAAGTTCACTCTTCAGCTTTTTTGTTGTGTGTAGTATGTGCGGGACTGAAAATGGACCGTTATTGCCTGCAGAAATTGCGCATGCGCACTACTTTCTCCCATTTTTCTCGGGAATATTTCAGGAGATGCCCCAGAGTTGCAGGCCAGTAAATCGGTCCAAAATCGCCTACGCCGGCAAAATCACGATTCGCATGCCCTCAAATTCTTCGTTATTTGAGCATATTGTGGGCCATGAACTTAAGGATATGTAAACAATATGAGTGGAAGTCGTGCACAGAACTGTGAGCTTGAAGTTCAGTGCACTTTGGATTATATTGGAGCCCCAAAACACGCTCTGTTTTGCAATGGAGTGTAGGCGTCGTTTTTCAAAATGGCGATGGGACCATTCAGGACCATTTTAAGGGGTGATCATATTCGGATGGAAATTTCTCCTAATAGTCATCACTTAACCCCACTAAAATTGGGGGCGGGGGAATGAAAGATGATGAAATTAGCTTTAGTTTGATGTGTGTCTTGAATACCTTGGAGAGTTGTAAGTATTTTTCCTGAATTTTTGAAGGAGGCATTTATCATTGGGGTCTATGGCAGTTTATTTACTGGTTTGCAACACTAAACGTTACTACTGACAAGTCCGTTGTCAATATTGGTTGGTCGTGATAGCGCCCTCTCGCGGCGGCAGATATCGCGGCGGCGGGTTATCGCGAATCAAACCATGCAACGTCTAGCCCGTAGACTAGCAAAACGGCAGACGCCCTCCGCCCTTCGGAAAATAAACATTACACTTTCAATCCTGGTAAACTGGTCAAGCTTTTGGTGTCCGTTGCTTGATATAACACTGGATAGGCAAGCATTATTGTAATACCTGCCCAGAGTCAATTGACCCTATATAAGATGGTCAAAATAATACGTGATAATTACATAACCAGCAACATACAAATACCTTTTTTTATATTATATTTTTTTTGGAAGCCATCAACGTTGGTGTTGTTCGTGACAAGCTGTTATTATAAATAAGTTGACGTCCATTTCCCTATTTCGGTTTCACTTCTTTGTAATCGATGCGACGCGTTGGGTTTGCTTCACTTATTCGGGGACAGACAGACGACTGAATCTCTTCAGAAATGAATCCGTTATACGGGATGATTTGTATCTGCGTGTTTGGTGCCGTATGTCACCTTTCTTGCGGTAAGTCAAATTATGTCAATGATATTTTGAAGAAAACAAACAAGCTCTAATGATATTTTTTTGTTGAGTTGACAGTCCCACAAAAAGGAAAACAATTCCACAAAAGGATGATAGATTTCGAAAGTCACGATGAGCGTTCACAAATGGGGGCATTTTCTTTTGATTTGGGTAATCTATGTCATTATGTTTTCACAGAGACGATTTTGGCAGCCGTGGAGGGAGAAGATGTGGAACTAGAATGCAAAGCACTTGACTGGGCGGTGACTGCACCATGCAATAGTACAGGTGTCACATTCGAATGGCTTGTAAATGCGTCAGCGATTGCCACATGTACAGAGACTGTTGCAAATTATACAGCTGTACTAAACAAGACAAGTGGGGCTTTGATGATCTCGCATGTTTCTGGGTCCTTGAATGGCACAAAGTTCTGTTGTCAAGTGTTACACGAAGGAGGAACCAATCGCTCTGAAGTAGAACTTATCGTGTTTAATGGTGAGTTTTTGGTTATATTATTCATGAATGTGGAGAAAAAAAAACTACGGATTTCGTTAG